TTAAAAAACAAATATTTTTTTTTTTTAATTCTTTTAATTCTGTTGAATATTCATTTCAAATATTTAGTCATTTAAATAGTTATTTAACAAAAATCTGTGATAATAATTTCTGAACTGACGTAGTTGTGTATGTTCAAGACATTCAATTGTTATATTTTATTATTAAATACGTTTTCGTATATAAAATTTAACACAAAAAAAATGAAATTAAATATTATAATAATTTTATCACCAAATAATATATTTTAATTATTTAAAATTACTAATATCTGTTAACTAACTAATATCTGTTAGTATTTCATTTGTAAATTATTTTCTATGTTTTTAAGCATATTTATGGTATTGGTTTTTTTAATTAATCAAACAATTATTTTCAATAATCAGAAGTCAAGTAAAATTTAATTGGAACGAATTGGATTTGAAAAAAATTTCATAATTTTAGAGAAATATTTTAATTAATAAATTTTATTTTGTTATTCTCTTTAATCTAATATTAGATATCATTTAAATAACCAATATATATATATATATATATATTAACAAAATTAAATAAAGAAATTGGTACTTACAACGCAAGCCTTAACAGACTCCCAAAAGTTTCTCAATAAGTCTTCAATCTTGACGTTTTTTTTTGAAGACACTGCTCAATTGCACTATTTGTCTCGAACAAAAAAAAATAATAAATTATGAAATTTTTTATAAAATATTATAATTTTCTTAATTCGTTCGAAATGATTTCACTGCAATTGAATTGTTAAGCTTATATAATCCAAAAATCAGTTTTTTAGTTTAGTTCAGTAGTGCTTTCTTCCTTATCTTTATACACACGAATACAAACTTCACAAGGTTTTCGAAATCAAAGCTCTTTTATTTATCGGAATAAAATGGCAAAAGTGCAGTTGACAGATTGAACCAGGACTATTTCAATAAAATTGAAGTTTTAATTAAAAAGTCACATCACTGTATTGTAGCTTACAGTCATAAATCGGAACACGTTGTTCTCGAAACTTCTAGTAAAGTTGACAACAGTAGACAATAGTCAACAGTAATTGAAAGATATGTTGGTTTGAGAATAGTAGATCTACGGTGAAGTTGTTACCCTTGCTGCGCCGTGTTACTCGTTTATCCTGTCAAGTATTTATGCTAAAATTAAATTAGTTGTTTTTTGCTATAGTTCCACTATAGGCTCAATTTTTAACTTTATTTCAATTTAATTTTTTTCTTGACTTTATACTGACGATTACGCTGATCTATGGCAAAATCATATCGCGATCTCTGCACATTTTCGCTGTTTAAATTATTAAAATTCACGCCAAATAACCGAAATACTTTTAACGAATACGTTGTGGCAAAATTATTAGGCCGGTTCGAAGAAATAATTAATTTTCTATATCTTATAGATATAAAACGTTGATATAAATATCAAAACTGTTGCACGTAGCGCCAATGGCTTGATATATTTTATTAAAATCCACAAGTGGTATATTGTGAGGATACACTATGCCGCAAAATTGGAACTGCTATAGATTACGTTGCCTGCCGGTACGTGGTTTCCAATGCAAATGATTGATTAGCGATTTGAGTAGGCGTATTTTATTGTTAGGAATTGTATAGAATATTGATTTGACAATAATGCGCTCAAAAATATATTTGCATATGTCAAACTATAGCAAAACCTTTAATATTTCTCTCAATACTCTTCTCTACTATAGTTTCTCTTGATATACGACGCCTTCAATTTTCTGCTCGGTTAATTTAGTCCCTCACTGAAATTGTAGTGGAGTTTTAGGCTTTTAAATCCTATAATAATTAGCTTTAAAATGGGTGCATACAAGTGCGCAATAGGCCTTGCTTTTTGCTCTATTTAGAATTGCTTAACTCTTTTGCTTGCTCTCTCGCTCTTGCACATGCGTTAACTAATCTTACACTTACTCTTTCTAACTCGTTCGCGTTTATATCATTGTTTAACGTTGATAATCTATGGTTGCTTCAAGAAATGTGTGGAAACCAGTCGATATCTCAGCATGTGGGATTTGTATTAGTTTAGTTTTTTAGTTTAAAAGTTTCTCTAACTTAATGCGTTAAAGCCAGTTTGTTCAAGTAATCCATTTAATAAATTTTATAAATTTTTATTTTAAGTACGTGCAAGTCACCTTTACGGTATTTGTGTGCAACGTAACACACTAATATTTTTCAAAATTTTTTTATTATATATTTGTATTGCAATTAATTACAAATATTTGTGGTTTTTTAATTTTTATTTTTGTTTTGATTTATTGTGTTTTGTTAATTGCTTAAATACTTTAATATTTAATGTATTTTCGTAATTATTTTACTCGTATGTCACTCAACTCTCCAAAAATTTCTTTAAATGGAGAGTGAGTAAGGTCGTTTAGTGCAAAACAAAAAAAAACTTTTTATCTATTAAATTTTTTCGTTAGTTTTTCGTATTTTAACAAACACTGCAATGTGTGTAGCTGAAAATCAATAATGAGTAATAGCCGCTATTACAAAAAACACTGCAGTAGTCTTTTAATTTTTTTTCCAGCAAATACTGTTTTTTCAACACGAATTTACTTTTTTATACACTTAATATTTGTAATTATTAGATATGAGTATTGACACCGCGTTTATAAAACTTTCCGCTTCGTTTCGTAGCACGTCGTGACGTTCCAAAGAATCCAATGAATCTGAAAATAGCATATAAAATGTACATGTTAAGAGCATTTCAACATACAAGAAACACAAAACACAACCAACTACAACAACAATTCAGTCTTATTACAAATTTTGACAACTGTAGTGTTGTGCTGTTGTACTGTAGTGTTGTTGCCTTTTGCTCTATGGATAAGTATGCGTGTATGTATATTTACTCACGTTTCTCTCACGTTTTTTTCTTATACACAGCTTTTGCTCTTTGAAGCCAACACAAAATATGTGTATTTAGTTTTTAGTATTTAAAAAATGTGGACAATAAATAGAGCAGCTTTTATTGCGGCATGCCAAGTTTAAAAACATATTTTTTCCATTTGTATTTTTTACTTTCAAAACCATTCAAAACATCTATTCAATCCAAAACGTTTATCTCAAAACGTATGCTTATGCTGACAAACATGTGTGTTATTGCCATAAGTAAATTCCTTAATATAATATTATATTTTTTATTGTTTATTACTACAATTTTATAATAATTATATTATTTCTACTTCAAAACTACAGCATGTAATTTAATTGTACAATTTCAATGGGTGTGTTATGCATTATGCTCGCTATTGGTATTGTAATAGCATACTCCATCGTAATGTTCACAAGTACGCAATCAGAGCAGACATATAAAGAGTACAAAACGTTTCTCTTTGTTATTGTTGGCTCTTTGTATTAAATCCTGCCTACTCTTTAAAAGTGGTCATTACTGTTTCGTGTTTTGCTGAAGAAATCGGTAGTCACAAAGTTCATTCTATTTTATTGTATTTCCTTCTTGAGTTTTTTATAGCATTTATGCTTGCATTTGTTCATCAGTTTGTTGCATTGATCTGAAATGAATAAGTAATGAATAAAATTAATATAATGTATCATAATTAAACAATGTTTGTGCACTTTTATAGACTCAAGTATTTTAATAAAATAAACATTTTTTTCATAGAATAATTTCTTTTTTATTATCTTCTAGATATTAAATAATTTGCTTGGAATAATTAAAATCATAAATATTATTCAATTTTCTTATTAAGTCTAACTGCTTAGTATATAGAACAAATTCTTTGAAACATATAAGATATATTAATTTAACGTATAGTTTTTATAACTTTTATATATTGAAGACGACATCGTATTACAAATAACTGAACCACCTAAAAAACAATTAAAATATTATTATTAAGTTAAAATCCAGCAAAATGACAGAGAAAAATTGAATTAAAAATGAACCCATTTAAACAGATTTACACGCATCAAGTTAATCAGTGAATTAGTAGAGATTGTAGAGATATTTTATGGGCATTATTAGTCGATAATTATTAGTCTACTATTAGTGTAGCATAATTTGAAAATTCTATATCGAGCAAAATTCTGATAAGTTCATACAATTACATATATCTCAAAAAGTAAAGATTAGTCGTATATATATACATATATATTTGACACTCTTTTTTACCACATATTAATATAATATATTGAATACAATATAGTGGTATTGCAATCTATTAGAAATCATTCAGCGAGTGGCGCAGGAGTCATGATAGACCTTATGACCTCCCTCGTCATCATTACGATAATATGAAGAATTAGGGAGCAAATAATGAGAATTTCATTGAAGTCATATTAGATGATGTAGTGAAAAACTAGTAATGCAAAGATACATATTGGAGAGATGGAAAGATTAGAAAGAAAAACCATGTATAGAAAAAAATTTCATTTTTTCAAGAAAATAAATAATATCAAGGTAAAGAAAATTAAAGGAATCTTCGTAACATTGATAAATATATCAGGACAAAATAACTTTCATCACAATACCACCATTAAAAACTTGTCCGGCCGGCCGACTCTGTCAGGACAAAGGTCTGTCAGATAATTTAAAATAATTTTTATCTTTTATTGAACATTCAGAATGAATTCATAATAAATATACATATCTATATATATAGTCCATCGATTCATTTCGAAATGGATTCTCAGCACCTACTACACCCCTAATTGTACTCCTGATATTTTCATGTCATACTCATATAGTTAGTGGAAATCAAATTCTAAATCTAACCGAACGATGTTTACACATGCAAAAACAAATCATTGTTCATAGCTCTGTTCCGTATTTTTAGGGTGCTTATTTTTATTAAGAAACCTACTGATACGAAAGTGAATCCCATGGGCTCATCACGTAATACTAAAGTATGGCCTAATCTGCCATTAGTCGACAATATTTAAGGTTGCATCGATAACTGTTAGATAGCCCTAAGGGCGTTATAACTCCAAATTGATCTATTTTTTTTAGTGAGCTAGAAATGAATCTCATGGGCTCATCACGTAACACTAAAGTATGGCATAATCATGCCATCAGTGGACAAGACATATTTCAGGTTGCATCGAAAGCTTTTGGATCGCCTTGGGTCGCCTTAGGTTTGTCTTTACGTCAAAGGCGTTAGGTTTGAATAAAAAAACTACAGTAATAAAAGTTAGTATGATAAGGAAAGATTTAGGACTCTGAAAACATTATTGAAAACTGAACATTTATTTCGCATACGTCTCTGCATGAAGATTTGCTTTACAGTACTTGGTCAATAGAGGATGTTAATTGATATAGTAATTAACAGCCTTTAAAACAAATACTTTCTAAAAGAAGTAAAGAAGGCCCTGTATATATAAATTTAACTTTTCTTGTTGAGTCATATAAAATAATCTGTTTGTCGATTTCCAAAAACGTTTAATACGATTTAATAAAAAATATGTTTAGTACGAATTTATTCGCAAAACAGCTGCGCAGTGACTTTATTTAGGTAAAATTGTATAAACTATTCCAGAAACACTGAGAATGTGTAATTCAATCCTTTGATAAATCAATGCACATGTATTACATAAAACAAGTCAAATAGAACAATGCTTTTTGTTTATTTTAAAAAATCTTAACAAATTACTTTTTGTATAGGACATATGCGAAATTGGAGACCCTACAAATCACGACAACTCTCGCACTTACATAATTTTACATAAGTAATGAAATACTACTTTTATATTAACAATTTTATTTTTATAAATTAATCGTTCTGAAAACTTGAATTACTTACGATGGGTGCGCATATTAAGTATCTGACGATAAAGTAGAATTATCGTTTTTTCTTATGGTGAACTATATCAGTAGCATGTAGGGTTTCATTATATAAAAAATACCGACTCTTATTTTACATTTGAGTAATTCCAAACAATTAATTGCAATTGATTTCAATTTACATGAAACATTTCTGTATTGTTTATTTGTTCTTTAGAAAAAATGCAGACAGAAAAAAATACATATTAGGTGTTCTTAGTAACAAAGTAGAATAAGTCCATTTATAAATTTATGATATAAAAAATATTTGACTGTGAAGGTAAAATTATTCGAACTGAATCACTATTCTATTAAAATTCTTTGTTTATATATACAATTACTTTGAATTACTGTAAGTGGGACTACTTAAAAATTCAATTAAATATTATCATACATCAATCATCAATCATTGTTTCAATGATTTCATTCTGCAAGTTAATCAAATTATTTTAGCTTTAGTAAATCTTTTGTAAATCAAATTTAAATAATATAACTAAATATATAGATAAAATCAAAATATCTAAATAGTATTTTCAACTACTTTATTTATTAATTAAATTTATTAGTACATATATGTATGTAGTATGTATATGTATATGGATATATCAGAATATGTATCAATATATATTTACAAAGCCATATGTTACCATAAATGCAAAACGAAATTACTTGTTTGTAGATAAATGTTTTGGTTGAAATACAAAAACTTGAACATTGCAAAAATTTCATAAAAACAAAGGAGTTCATTCATAAAATATTCAGCAAAAGATACTTGAACATGAGAAAAAGATGTGGGTTGTTGCTTACATATTGAAATCATAAACACTGTTTTCGTTAAATATAATATAACATATAACATGACATACATATACATAGATAAATATAATATATCTCTAATACAAACGGTGTTTTCGATATATTCGCATACGAGAAACTATAGCTTCTGCTAGCTTTATAATGAGGACTACAGAAGAACAGTGAATGATGAATGGAAAACTGTTTGGAATTTTAATAAATTTAATCTCAAATTAAATTAAAGCTGAAATTTATTACCTTTTTAAGTTAAAAAGTAATCTATGTTATAATAATAATTATCATCTGTAGAAAGTTAATAAATCTTCGATAAAAAAGATCTATTTTCTTTTACAAATGATTAAAAATAATCTAATAATCTATTTAGCATCTACTTTTTACAAACTCATTTTGGCAATTGTACATATAATGCGCCCAGATGTTTTCTACTCGACTCATTCAATGAATGAATTATATTTCTATGTTCCTTAAGCATGTTTTTCTATGTCAACAATCCTTTAAATGCCTTTAAATTTTAAAGATTTCTAATTTTTCCTTAATCATCCCCTGAATTTTTTAATGCTTCACAATTTTTATGTTCACCGATGATACTTAATATTATTGTTATTTTGAATCATTATAATAATAGTAATAAAATAACAAATAAACTTAAGAACTAACTAAACCAAATACTGGAAAAACATATAGAAGTCGCTCTATCAATGAAAGCCTTTTAAGATTGGATTAAAATGTATAATAATTGTTAAATAATATACATAAAAAGAAACAAAAATTCGATTTTTAATTTATTTTTATTTTAGCTATATATATATATATATATTTTAAACCATATAAACATATATTTCATTATTTAAAGTATTAAACAATGATTAAACAAAACGTTGAATATTTAATAACATATCTCTAACAGAAAATTTCGCGATTGTATGTTAAGTACAGAAGCTCTTACATTCCCGTACTCCTGGCGTAATACTTGCTTCTTCTTACTCTCTACACAGTGTACGTAATTCTTATTAAGCAATGTACAAATATTGAAATTATAATTAACAAGCAATTATAAGCCAAATTACATATACAATAATTGCACACATAACAGCTTAATATGAGTTTCTGTTAGCTAATTGTGTGAATGTTACAGCAGATATTGGATGACGGCTTTGCGGGTGCGAGTTCGAATGTGTGGGAGAAACGAATTACCATTAATTGAATTAGGTTTTCAAATTAAATGCGCAAGAAGCCCACTAAATGTTATTTAATATGAGCGAAATGTGGCAATAGAATATTTAAAATTACATATATAGAAAATAAAAAATAAATAGTAAATAAATAGAAATTGTTCAAAAACAAATATATTAACAAATTTAACTATATTTAACTCAAACAGAAAAAAAAGAAATATTATCTTTTAGAAAGAAATTTCTACAAATTTTCTAGATATATCTTATAGAACTTATGAAGAAATTTTAAAAAATTTTGTACATACATTATATTAAGATAATATAGATAGTAATTACCTCCCTATACTTATAATTGATAAGTATAAGCTAAGAAATGTGTTATATGTAATTAACCTGTATTTGTTATAAATTAGCGATAGGATAGTGATTGGATGAAGGGTAAAACCTAAATGCTGAATATATTATTAAATATGTTATTAAATTTATATTTATATATCATTAAATATATTCAGCTGAATCTGAAAATGTGTTTTTTGATAATAAACATAATTAAATAAAATATAAACACTCATAAATATGTTGTGACACTAAATAACACAACCAACTAATATTTCTTTATGTTAAAATTTGATCCAAACAGTTCTAGGAGTCAACGAGTATGTCAATCGATATCTATACAAACATCGTTACAAAGATTCGACGTATTGAACTGTTTGGGAGTGTTAATGCTTATATAAGTTTTGTAACTATTCCTTATATAAGGATGCATATAGAAATATACAAAAATTATGA